TCTGGAAATAACAAAGCCCATGACAATGGGAAGGGTCTATTCGCGTTTAGAGATGTTGGCAATAGATGCTTTAGCTGTCATGGTCAGCAAATAATTTACAAATTTCAAATATGACTTTATGTTAGAGTTAGCATACAAGAAATTACAGCTTAAAGAAAGTAATGGACATGAGACGAACAGGTTGATCAATTCTGAGGCATCTTCAATAATGGTCTTGAAATGACTGACAGTGAAATAGCAAGGGTTTGTTTGTATTCTCCAGAACCGACAGTTCTCAAATTCTGATTTGAATCTGATTCCTAATGCCTTCGAAGTAGCAAAGGATATTTTTCCCATGAAAACTCTCTGTAAATACTGACAACAGCGGTGATTCGATAACATATCACTGCCATTTAGCAGAGTGAATCCAGTAATCCAGGAGGGGCCTTTTCATCCCTAGATTGTTTAACTGCGATACTTTTGATGCACAGTATAAAAGATTTAACCGTCAGAGAGGGAAAAAAATTATAAGACTAACACAACATTTGCCTTGCAGATCATGAACATGCTCCATTTGCCAGGATCTTCTGTAACCACAGATAATTCCACATTTCCAAGGAAGCAACAAGTTTGTCAATCAATAAGAAGCAAACTTGCTAATAAGTGTGCCTATGTAGCGAATATTAAATCATGCAATGATTCATTTAATAAGCAACATCTTGGCTGTCTTCTGCCTGCTGGTCACAGTCAGACAATGAAATTACTGAGAGGAAGAGACTAGGATTGCAAGTTAGGCAGACAGCAAATGAGAGGAAAGCAGTGGGAGCAAGCCTCTGGGTCATGAGCTCTGACAGAGCCGGGTGCTGTAAAGGTAACTACAGGCACTCTTTGCATTAAGAGGGAGAACCTGAGAGGGGACTGTAGACAATCACCTCACTGGCAACCTTAATCTATGTAAACTGTTTTCAATTCAAACTGTGAAATATAAGCCTGTGTACCGAGCCCCACACACATACATACACACTTGAAGGTACCAGGTAGAAATGGAATTTTTTAAAAAAAATTAACGAACACTGTCCATGAACATTTGGAAGATATCTCATATATAGCCAGGATTATAATTAAGATTGCCTGTTTAATGTCACCTACCTTTTGTAGAATGTTTATTTTAGTCCTTTTTGGGAATCTGTCTCACTGAAGAAGGATTTAATTCAAAGATATCACATGAATAATAATTTGAGATAATATTTCAGTGCTCATTCACTTGTAGTGGAGCTTTGAGAAAAAAAACTGACCAGGGACAGCCTCCGAGATGAAAGGCGCTGGTAGGCACGGAGTGCACTCTCAGAGTTACACGTGAGGCCTGAGTGTGGGAGGATTCCCTATGGATTGCCTGAACGAAGGAATAGGAAATATGACATGGCTATGAAACAGATAGAAGCATGTCATATGTGTTTGATTAAAAAATGTACAGGTTTCATATGAGAACACTGGGGCCCACTGAAAGCTTTATTTTGATGTGTATAGAAGTAGTAGTTGGTTAGAAAAGATTGCTCAGATAAGCAACAAGATTTTGTTTTTAAGAACAAGAAGCCACTAGTATTAAGTAATTGAAAAGATAGCCCAACCATTGTTCTTTTTCTACCCTTGCAAGATGACTTTGCAAAAACTTCCATCAAGAGACAGACTCTCCACCCGAAACATACACCCTGGTCCTCTGACCAACTTGAGTCACTGGAATGTCACCATAAAGACTGTCTCAGACAGCCCCTTCTTCTGCTATGAGAATGGCCCAGGTCTGCTTGCTAGAGGGTGAGGCCAGCTCTGGAAGAAACCCAGTTGTTTCTAGTTAAGCTATCCCTGGACTGGCTTAGCACCTGAACCCCGTAATAAACGTGAAAAAGCTCAACAAAGCTCAGAACTGCATTCCTGGAAACAATCACCAGCAGACAGGAAATGAGTCCAGCTAAGATCAGCAGAGCCTCCCAGCTGACCCCAACTTGGAAGCAATAATAAGTGACGTTTGCTGCCACTGTGGTTTGCAGTTGCACCACTCTAGATCAATCCTTCCTTGATGCAATGTGAGTGAACATGAGAAAACTTCACCTCTAATTGAAAATCAAACCTAAAACCCTTGAAATGGCAAACAGACTCTGCTAACATCCTGCAAAATGCCCAGGCATTACTGAACCCATCATGATTACATGATTTACCCATATGCTACTCTGTGGAGCATTGTAGCTCCCCGTTCTTCATTACTCTCCCATTTTATATTAAAAAGTTACATTTATATCCAAAATTTCCTTTTGTTACCCCTTTAAGGCCAGACATCATTTGAAAAGAAGGTGAAGCTTCTGCTCACATTTTAACATAGTTCTTGGCACTTTGTAGGAGAACAACAATATTGCGGATGGACCTCTCCTATTCCTCCTCCTTAATAAAACAGTTTCTACTTTCAAAACTATTTCTATGCCCCTACTCCTTCGTAGGCTCATAAAGATCCATCAATCCCTTTAATTTGGTTTGCTCTGAATTATTCTACAGACACATACTCCTGATTTACTACTAAAAGAGGCTCTGTTACTTCGTAGTATGTGTAACCAGGGAAATTTCCTTAACCTTCCGTACTCCAGTATTCCAATAACAGTGATGAAAACAATGATGCATATCTCAAATAAGAGCAAATTGGATCACCCGTGCCCCACACTCAGGAAGAACTAGCAGGCCAGAGTACTCAAAAGAGAAGGCAGCATAACCTTTTTTTTTTTTTAATCTTATCTCACTTCATCTGAGGATGCATGCTTACCTCTTCTTCCCCCAACTGCATGTATCTACCAATTAATTGCTCTCAATTGTACCTGTATTGGCTTTTGAATTCTCAGTATCTAGAAATACCAAAGTTTTCCTAACATACTTATTTCTCTCCTAATAGGGTTAGAAGCACAAACCCAGCCCTTTGGTGCTCTCATTGGTTTAAGACCCACACGTACTGCTCTCTCAGACCATAGCTCTTAGATTGTAGTTTAAGAGTTCTCCCCTCCTTGTACATTTACTCCTTCCTACCCATGGCACTGCCATTTTGGCCTAGTGGATTAAACCACCACTGCCTGCAAGTTGGCATCCCATAGATGGACAGTTTGCATCCTGACTGCTTGCTTCTGACACCCCCTCCTCCCTGCATGTGTGCCTGGGAAGGCAATGGAGAAGGCCCTCGGTTCTTGGGCCCCTGAACCTGCAAGGGAGACACAGATGAGGCTCCCAGTCTCTGGCTTTACCTGGCCCAGTCTCAGCCACGTTGGCCTTGTGGGGAGCAAAGTAGCTCTCCATCTCTAGCTGTATCTCTGCCTTTCAAATTAATAGATAAATCCTTGAAAAAAGTACCACATTTAAAACCATAATATAGTTCTGTATGCTCTTACAACTGTAAATTCCCATTGTGCAAAGATAAAAAGAGTTCATTAAAATAAAATAAAGTCATAGAATGTTATTTTTTTAAAAATAGTTGACCTCAAAAATTATCAAGTAGTTCATTAGGTCATAGTTTATCCTTGTACTGGAATTCATGTTCTAACTTATAACAATTGATGGATATCAATTTAATTAAAAAGGATAAGAATATGCACACAATTCACAAGAAAACTGATGAAAGTTGAATAAGGTTTATGTTGACAGTATTGTAATAATATTAGTTTCCCAGTTTTGATAATGTGCTATGATTTTATAAGACATTATTACTAGAAGAAGATGGGAATGATACACAGAAACCTCCTGAACCATTTATTTTTGAGGTTGCTTTTGTATCTCAAGCTATTCAAATTTTTTTAAAGATTTAGGACTAAATCTTAGTTTTACTTGGCATTTTAATTCATATTTCAACTATAATTCATTTTACAAGATGAACAATGTATTATCAATGTATTATCATTAAGACTTTTCACATTAAAATTTGTTTTTATTATTGCTACCAAAGTTATGCCAGTTGCATTCATGGTTTAGATGTGGGTGAGTAATGAAAGCATAAGTGTTTCTATTTCATTGTTTCCTAGGAAAAAAAGCAAATGGAATATGGGAACCTTATTTAAAATGGAAAGGTTTGTGTCAGTTTCCTCATGAATTCAGGAGTTTTTCTGGATAACAACATGTTCCTTTAAAACAAAGCACAAAAGTATAGACTCTAAATGTAACTTATGAAAGGCAGTCATTTTATATTCCAATTTTATTCACCTTTTCTGAATAGTCACAACATTAATCTATTAGAAGATAATCTAATTAGTATATTTAAATTCCATTTATTTTATCTATCAATATGCATGTATTACACTTGTATATAATACACAATTTCCAGTTTTGCTTTAAAGAACATAGTTTTAAAAAATGAGAAGTATGATCTATAATTTCAAACAACTTAGGACAAATTCATAATTTCTAAAATAATGAACTTTTCCATTTTATTCCAAAGAAAATAAGGATATTCTAACTGATGCAGAAACTCCAGCAAAACTGTTATTCCTTTCTCCATGATTTCAGATACTCTTGAACATTGCAAATTCTACTGAGAGATAGCTATTAGTTTGAAGCAAAATTAAAATGGAGATAAGAAGTCATTTCATTTCATATCCATGTGTGCAATAGACTCCACTTTAACACCAAAAAGATACTTTCCAAATTTAATTTTCAATAAATATAACGGTTTTTCCCAGAAAATAGTCTGGGTGGGGTTTTAGAATACTGTTAGAGACAGATCAAAGCTACATTTAGGACATGTGAGTTCCATCATGGAAAACAATATAGGCCTATTAAGCCATGTGGGTGGATTTTTAAAACACAAAACATTTGCACAGCCGCTCTTAACATGATGAAACTTTTAAAAAGACAATTTCTAATGCATCTTCAAATTAGTCTAAAATAAGTAAAGCACAGGAATCCCTTCCCTTCAAATTACATGTATTTCTATACAGTCACATTCTTCCCTCCCTTCACATCACAAATGAAAAAAGTAAATGTAGTATAAAATTATACATTCTGTAACAGCATAGAAAAAAAAGTACATACATGTTTAAGGCCTTTAAATATTTATAGGATTCTCCTGTGAAACTGAAAATCACAAATGTTAAGATGACTATGAAAATCTGGACAAAGTACTGGCCTAAGAAACTGTTTGAATGAGACAACTCTGTCAATATTTAGAAACTTGAGATGATGGAAAATGAACACTTTATTCTATCAAGAGACTGAACAAACAAATACAGAAGCATTCAAACAGTCATCGGGATCGAGCAAGGTACAGTGTTTTAAAATGGGGGGGAAAAAAAAGGATAACTTAAAAAAATACGAGAAAAAATCTAAGTCGGTGATTTTCCAAGCTAAGAAATCAGAACAGCACATGCATCCCTGGAGAATTTTTAAACTAAGGCTACCTAATAACGTGACTGCTCACCACTGATTTCTGTGAAAGCAAAAAGGATTCATAAAATACTAAAGAAAAAGCCCATTACAAAAGAAAGAAAGAAAGAAAGAGAGAAAGAAGGAAAAAGAAAAACCAGAAAGGGAGAGTGCTCCAGAGGTACTAAGTATTGTGTAATGAGAATGGGAATCCGGTTCTAGCAGCTACGTATTTAACTGACAGAGAGCTGTAGTAGTGTTGTTAGCCTGGGGGAAACATGTCAACTTGTCTATACATTCTTATGTGATTGATGTATTCAGGTAATTATTACTTGCCAACAATAATTATTATCAATGGATATATATTTCCACTCCTTTAAGAAAAGCAACTTTAAGATGTTAAAACATGTAGGTTTTCAGAGCTCCAGGACCAGAGTACAAATAAAATGGTCTCTGTCTATACCATGCCAGAGGAGAAGTTTGCAAACGAAATGTCAGGAAAGCAGTTCAGTCCCATTAGCCAATCAACAGAGGAGCCAGGGACACAGCCATAACAGAAGGACAGGGCACATGGGAGGCGATTTCAGAGATGAGAAAAGCAGTCACATCTGTAGACAAGAATCCCAAAGGTGGCTGCTGTCTCAGACATTATCCTGAAAACCATAACTCTTGCCCAGCTCTGCCGATGGCAACTTCTAACTCCTTCAACGCTTTTCCAGATGGAACACAGTTCAACTGCGACGACATCTTCTTGACATAGAAGTTCATGTCGCTCTTTTTTTAAAGTCTTGGTTTCAAGCAAAGGCTAATCGTGAGTCATGAAATCCTGTGAATCCTGTGGGATAATGGACTCAGGAGCACCTCTTCTGACAGGTATAAAAATCTTCCATCAAGATCACCCCAGGAGTTAAGTTTCAATGCACATGTTCAGTATCCTCAGCCTTGAGGATCACTTGGTTTATCCCTTGGCTAATGGGTGACCTATGAAGAACAAGAAAATAAAGTCAACATTTCATAACTTCGATTTTACTGTAAAACTAAACATCGTGAGAATAGGTCATTCAAAATGTTCACGTGTTTGCTCTATCAACTGTATTTTTGAATTCCAAAAGCCCTGAATATTCAATATTCACAAAGATAAAGGATATCAGTTTTTTCTCATTATTATTTTTTCAGAATATATTATTGAAATTTTAGTCACTTTAATTACTCGAAAGTTAGAGAGACAAATACAAATTTCCTATCCACTGGTTCACATCAAGCACCTGCCACAGGACCAGGCTGGGTCAAGCTAAAATCAAATCTGGAAAACAATATGGGTTTTTCACATGGGTGGCAGGGACTGAAGTACTTGAATACGTCTACTCGCATTTAAAGAGAGATTGAGTGATTGAGTACATAAAAAACACAATAATATACTGAATTGGAGAAAGTTAGACAGAGAGGAGGAAAGAGAGAACAGTGAGGGAAAGAGGGGACAGAGGACAAATGATTTAGTTTCAGCATAGATTCACTATAAACAATTACAGCAACATAACAACTGAATTGGAGGAATGTTGCCCAATGACTACATAAAAGCAAGAGGCGTGTCCTATTGAAACACCTGAAACCCAAGATCTAAGGAATCTGTCAGTATGGGAGATGCATTCCTAGATATTCATTCCAAGTGAAATGTTGCAATTTCTTTTTTTTTGGATTGACATAAATTCAGGAGTCATTAGCTCAATTATTTATTCATCAAAGCTCTTTACAGGTAATTTTGAAGCTAGACATCATTTATTCTATCAGTTGAATAGTCCCATTCTGCAAATCTGAAATCATCCAAACCCCAAATGGTTTTAGCACCAACATGATGTCACAGGTAGAATATTCTACATCTGACCACATGTGACTGGTTGCAGTCAACACAGGCACACAAAGAAATACTATATAAAATGACATTTGGATTCTGTGTGCAATAGGATCTATGAAAAACAAGTGAATTTCACATTTATAATTGGGTTCCATCTCTAATATAATTCATTTTGTATAAACAAACATTTCAAAATTCAAAACCCAGTATACTTCAGATCCTAAGCATTTTAGATGATACTCAACCTGCAGAAAAGCAGAAGCTTACATAATAACAAATTTTTCTCCTTGCCTAAGAAGAAATGTACACGAATACAGACACTGTAAGCATTTACAAATACAAGTATATCTTCCATTTCCTCCATAACATTGTAAATATACATTCTATATTTCTATCAGCTAAAAGAATTAATGGAAAAATAAGCTTCATATATAAGTAAAAAAGAGATAGTGTAAGTAAGCACAGATTTAAACAAACTGACTTTTTATCCTACTCTAGTTTTATACAATATTTCTAGATAATCATCATACAAATATCTAGCATATTTTATACAACACAGAGCAGGTAATACATACCAGGAAGTGAAGATTCACTGCAGTAAGCATCTCTACTTCTGATTAAAAGGAGAACTCCCAGTGAAACAGCTAAATACACCTTGATAATGCTTCTAGACTATCTGCCTCTGTCTATACCTACAATGCCATGATGCACTTCAATAGTAGAATGCTACAGTTTTTTGGTTTTAAAGTATTATTTACTTTTACTAGAAAAGCAGATTCACAGGGAGAAGGAGACACAGAGTGGAATATCTTTCATCTACTGGTTCACTCCCCAATGGCCTCAATGGTGGGAGCTGAGCCAATCTGATGCCAGGAGCCAGGAGGCTCTTCTAGGTCTCCAAGTGAGCACAAGGTCCCAAGGATTTGGGCTGTCCCCAGCTGCTTTCCCAGCCCATAATTAGCAAGCTGGATTGGAAGTGGAAGAGTTGGAACAGTAGTTGGTGCCTGTGAGGGATGCTGGTGCCTACAGTGGAGGAATAGTCAATTGAGCCCTTGTGCAGGCCCCTTCCCATCCTGTAATGTATTCATTGTGTTATTAGAATAATATCTTACAAGCATTCTTTCTTTCTCTTCTTACTGCAATGATCCCCTTTTCCCAAATGTCTTTACTGTTATAATGAATGCCCATTTGTGGATGGCCTTCCTCCACTGCTCTTCCATGCGCATGAGCAGGAAGTTGTATCAGAAGTGGAGCAGCATAGTTTGAAATGGCACGCATATGATGCCATTGCAGGTGGTAGCTTTCCTGCTATTGCACAACAGTAGCCCTTGCTATGGCCTTTGTTATTCATCTCCATTTGAACTAGTATGGTAACATTGTCACATCTCCTCACTACAACTCTTCCAAGCTACTGCATGTTTTAGTATTTTTAAGGAGCAACTTCAATATCAATATACATATTCAAACACTTCAGTGGCTTCATACTGTCATCCTATGAATAGAAGTACCCGATAGCTGAATAACACAATCTTCTGATAATGTGATCCCAAACTACGCACCTAATGTACTGTTGCTGAAGAATCATACTACAGTACTATTGTGGGGGAAAATACAGAAGGAGAAAGGGGGAGGGAGAGTCTCTATGCCTACAAAACTGCATCATAAAAATGATTTTTAAAATACCAGGCTACAAAACACTTCTAACATGTAAGTATGAAAGTGGGAAATCTGTTAGGATCTAGTCATTTCAATTACTTGGTTTGGGTTCGAGTGCACGCTGTGGTTCAGCATGGAGAGTTCTGGATTTAAGCCAATGTGGACATCAGCCTTGTCACACCGGGTGACTCATGCAAACTCTCAGTTTTCTCTTACATGTACGATGGGAACACTTCTGCTCATTCTTCAGTGTTGTTGTAGAGTGCAATGGTCAAGTATTATAAAGATTAGGAAACTAGTTTCGTCAACACCGAATGATTATCAAAACAAAACTTTCAAAATGAGGCTGTTTTTAAAAGTACAAAGTTTAAACAATAAATAAATCAATAAACAAATAGCCATCCAGGAGTTTCAAAGGGAAGAGGAACACTTCCCAGACACCAAAATAAAGAAATAAATAAATAAGAGTATGACTCAAAGGAACATGAAAAGATCACACTCACAGACACTCAGAGGGCTGCATTGAAGGAATGTAAACAAACGTTAACTAATGATTTGACTCTTTCAACACAGAGTCCAAGCAAAAAGATGCATCAACACGTATCAGGATCCTCCCAGCCACCATCTACGTCCATACCCAATGGAATGGCAAAACCAAAGGTCTCTATTAATGAATCTGCAGGAAAATAGTAATGGAAATTGCCAAAACCATCTCTGTTAATACGGAACCAAATGGTCTTCCAATCAGCCTTACTCTCAGAAGGCATTAGTGTGAGGAAAGGATAGAAATTCCGTACAATATGTGGTTATAGTTTTCACTTATCCTCAGTCACATTATTTGTGTATGAATACAAAATGGAAGTATTGTCATTCACCACATCATAGAATTAGTAATTCTGTATTCTAAACTCTGAAATGGGATTATCAGTAATGAATTGTGTTAAAGGGAAACACAATTTGTCTATTGCTCAAAGTAGAAGACAGATATCCATTGTTTTATTTTAATTGTTCTGAATCATGAAAATATGTATAACAGAATTAATTCTGGATGTATCTATGTTATCACCAGTTTGAATCACATTTTATTTTAAAGACATATTTATTATTTCAAGAGTCAGAATTGTAGAGAGAGGAAGGGAGAGAATGAAAGACAGAAAGACATCCGCCACCTCATGGTTCACTCCCCAGATGGCTGCAATGGACAGTGTTGGGTCAGGTCGAAGCCAAGAGTTTCATCCAGGTCCTCCCATGTGGATGCCAGGAGCCCACACACTTGGGCCATCTTCTATTGCTTTTCCTAGACCACTAACAAGACCACTAGCAATGTTGAGAAGTAGAGAAGCTAGGACTTAAAGAGCTACTCTTGTGGGATGCTGCCATTGCAGACAGCATTTTTATCTACTATTTCACAATGCCAGCCTCCACATAGCATTTGAAAATGAAACTGTTATTGAGGGTTAACTGATAAATCTATTGATTATGACACCTGATGAAGATGCCTGCATGCCCTAACAGGGTTTGAGTTTGATTCCAGACTATAAAACCTGACACAAGACCTCCTCTAATGCAGGTGTTGTGAGAAAGCCATGATGGTTCAAGTAATTGGGTTCCTGCCATTCATTTGGGAGCCCTGCACTGAGTTCCCAAGCAACTCTACTTGCCCCAGCCTAGCCTGGGACATTGCACGCATCGGGGAGTGTTCTCTCTCTCCTCTCCCGCTCTCTTCTCTCAAATAACTGTAAAAACAATAGCACAATTAAACCTCAAATATCAACCTCTAATGGAAGGGAAATAGCATTTGCTACTATGAATGTACACTATGGGCAATAGATACAAAATACTAAATCAGGGAACGTAGTAATCCTATGATCATTATGGTTATGCCTTGAACCTCATGTGCTATAATCATTACCTCAATAAATTTGCTTTACCAATGGCAATATTTTACACAGCTGTTCTTTTCCCTGTAAATCTTATTTGTGTGTGCTGCACATCAGCAAGCTTGAGACAACTAAGCTGCTGAACACGAGCAAAACTAAAAAATAAGAATAGTAACAATAGCTTCTCTAGTGACAAGCACTGAGCTACCTTGGAAATCATCTAGCAGGCTGAAAAAGCTAATCTGTAAGCATTAAACAGAAGTATTGATTTTCTTTTATAAGTTTTATTTTACTTTAATTGATACATGGATGTGGGGGTACAGTACAATGTTTTAATGCATGTGTAAACTGCATACTGATCAAATCAAGTGCTAAATAGATATACAATAGATAGATATAGATATATAAAACCTCAAACATTCATGATTTCTGAATGACAAGACCACTCAAAGTTCTGTCATTTAGTTATTTTAAAATGTAACATCAGAGTATGTGTTTGTCCCAATCTAACATACCTATTCAGGGTCTTAATTAGGTTTCCACCAAATTCATGCTACAATCACATCTTAAGATTACTCATCTAATTTGAGAAA